TTTCAGGTGTTCATCAATTCTCTTGCTTATCTTTGGTATCTTGTTCTTCAACTTTGGAGGAATCACTCTCTGTACGTAGCTAAGCATGTTGCTTAGACCTGGGAGATCGTGTGTGTATTCGAGAGCGTGACTTAGCGCGTTTTCGAGTTTGCCGTACCCTGCAAGGTACTCCTAGAGTTGTTGGACGTTGATTGGGAAGTCTCCTTCGCTGCCTTTCAGTAGCTCCTTTACTCCCGCCCAGTCCTTTTCACTCGTGATTGGGGTTGTACTTTCCATCTCCTCTGATTTTTTACTGATCTTCAATTTCTTGGCCGCATGCTTGACGTTTATCTCGTCTTCGGAGTTGTTTGGTGAATCTTTCCTTGTGCTGCACAGTTCCTCAATGTCATCGTCTTCAGAGTAATCATCAACTGCTATTTTGTTGCCAGATGACACAGTGGAAGGGGGTGATTTGTTTTTTTTCGATGGTGGATTTTCATTTCTCTGGGTTGTGACGTCTTCATTCAAGCTAGTTTTGTTTACGGTTATATGGGGATCGTCTGTGCCGTCTACTCCAGAGGGCCCAGCTGTGTCATGCGGATGAGTAGAGGAGGTTTCTTCAGGTGTCTTCTCGATCGAGTTGTCATTAGGTGCATTTCGTGTTAGTGTGGGAGAGGGTTCATTGAGGAGCTCTTGTTCGTCAGCATGTTGTTATCCTGGGTATCCTCTATGTAAGAAGATTGACTGAGTTGTACAGGTTTGGAAGGGCAGTTCTTCGCGAAATGCCCTTCCTTCCTGCAGATGTAGCATGCATTTGTGTCATGTGTTATGTAAACCCATGTCTGGTTGCCTTCTACCTCTATAGAGAATCTAGGGGGTAGTTTGTCGATGTCTTCGGGGTCAACGTATGTTTGCCTTTTAGCCCATTTGATATGACACAGATCTTTGTGTTTGAAACTTGCATTAATTGTGGTGATCGGCGCCTTTATTTTGACACCTTCTTTCAATAGTACAGAAATGATGACGTCGTCTTCGACTTCAGGGAATACCGGTGAGAACGTGATCCTTTTGTTCCTCGTTATGTAAGGACGAATATTTACAATTTGGTGAGCGACTACCAGTTGCTTCCTCGAGCCAATGAGCTCATCAACAGTTTGTTTACTATCCAGCCAAACAATCAATCGATGATTAGAGGATGGTTTGACTGTGTTAATCTTCGAACCTGGGACATATTTGATTAGGGCTAACATGTACTCTTCGTAATCTGCCTGAACTGTGTTCTCGATTATTATTGCGCTTTCATTGTTGGTTCTTTTGGTTTTCCTTATTGCTGCTGAGTAACTTGGTGTGGGACTGTTTTGCGAGTTGCTTCCTTGTGGTACACCTTGTGAAATTTGCTGACTTTGTGATGCCATTGTTACTTGAAGACCCTGCCTGCAGGGAACTTCCGATACTAAATAGGGTTTTCACCCCTTTCTCACCCTTCACTTCTTTCTCTACCCGTATCAATATTGTTTATTATTATTTTATTTTACTATTGCCATAGCCTTGCGGCTAAAGCATTTTAAATGTACCCACGTAGCCCGAACAATGTAATCTTCACTCTTAGCTGTCGGAGAGCGTGTCAAACACGTCCGTTCGCCACGGTGGCTCAAACGAGACTCCACCCATTTGTTATTAACAATTTAATTGTTCAAATCGTCCTATCACCCAAACTATGGGAGGTAGACGAAAATTTTCAAATCATAAATTATCTAGAATTTAATAAGGAATAACTTTTGTCTTTTGTCAATTTCCCATATCTCCTTTACATTTCGAGATATGAGTAATGAAAGAGTTGCGTGACTCAGGCCCACCGCGCGCCGCCAGCGGAGACCGCTGTGTCGGGTCGCGCAACTACTTTATTGCTCATATCTCAGAAGCTAAAAGAGATACGTAAAATTGACAAGACAAAAATTATTCCTTATGAAATTCTAAAAATATAGCACGAGCCGAAGGCGAGTGCGGAAAAATGTTTGTTGCCTTCGGCTTGTCTCGTCTATTGGGAACAGGAACTCGCCTTCGGCTCGTGCTATAAACCTCCCACGAGCCAAAAAACACTTTTACGCACTCGTAACGAAATATACTATTTCTGCTTGAATTGCGTCAAACAGTCGTTTATTGGACGGTTTCATTTTGCCCCGCTGTTTTATTTTTTCTCACTCTGCCCTATAACGTTTGAAAACAATTTTTTTTTCAATTTTCAAAGAAAGTTTTGGGGTAAAAAAATTGAACAAAAGTTGACGAAAAAAGCCCTTATAACAAATTGGAAAAAAAATATTGCAAATAATGCCGATATTGCAGTAAGTATGTATAATGAAAAATTCAATCATTTTAATTGTTTATTACATCCATTAGCTTTGTGTGTTAAAAAAATTTCCGGGGATGTTATTACTTCAGTCGTTAAAATAATCAATTCCATTATAGAGCTGCGGGACACCCCCAAAAAAGCGCTTCTAAATCGACCAACCGACCACTCGCGTACTAATGCGTAATTTTTTTTTTAATCAATAGAATATTACCACGGAACGTTAAGCTAAGCAATTTTTAATTTATTTTAGGCATTGGAACCCTTCTAAACATCATCGAATGGGGTGGGGTATGCACCGTACTCTATAGGCTGGAACTAATGATCCCGCATCAATTTCGGAATCGTCGAGTTTCATGAAATCTATGTTTTTTGGGTCAAGGATTCCAAATTTGTCGGTTATTAAAAAAAAAACAAGCGTTCTATTTGTTATTAACAATTTAATTGTTCAAATCGTTCTATCACCCAAACTATGGGAGGTAGATTTTTAGAATTTCATAAGGAATAATTTTTGTCTTGTCAATTTTACGTATCTCTTTTAGCTTCTGAGATATGAGCAATAAAGTAGTTGCGCGACCCGATACAGCGGTCTCCGCTGGCGGCGCGCGATAGGCCTGAGTCACGCAACTCTTTCATTACTGTTTGACACGCTCTCCGGCAGCTAAGAGTGAAGATTACATTGTTCGGGCTACGTGGGTACATTTAAAATGCTTTAGCCGCAAGGCTATGGCAATAGTAAAATAAAATAATAATAAACAATATTGATACGGGTAGAGAAAGAAGTGAAGGGTGAGAAAGGGGTGAAAACCCTATTTAGTATCACTTTTCCCACGAGTATCGAACGATATTTTTCATCACAATGTGTGGAAAAGGGACGTTTTAGGCCCGCGAAGTTACTTTTTCGCACAGCGTGATGAAAAAACATTTATGTCATAGGTGCCCAGAATCTCGCTTCGCTCGGTAGAATCGCGGATTCCGGGCCCTATGACATAAAATAGTATACGAAACTCGTGCGTTATGGTGTTTTTTGACTCGTGGGATTGTAAAACTCGCCTTCGGCTCGTTTTACAACTTCCCACGAGCCAAAATAGTATATTTCGTTACGAGTGCGGAAAAGTGTTTTTTGGCTCGTGGGAAGTTTATAGCACGAGCCGAAGGCGATTAATTTTGGAGGTTCAAAGGAGAAAATGCACATTCCAAAACACTTTTCCCACGAGTATCGAACGATATTTTTCATCACAATGTGGCGGAAATTGGACTTTTAGGCACGCGGAGCGCGCCGAAAAGTTCACTTTTCGTCACAGCGTGATGAAAAACCCATTACGCACTTGTTGCGTAATATACTATTATGCCACTCATGCCTGAAACCGGCTGGATTACACACTCGACGCTTCGCGTCTCGTGTCTAATTCAGCCGGTTTCAGCCTTCGTGACATAAAATTTTGTTCAGTACTTGTTGGGAAATTTCGTCCTTAACGTGTGTGGTTACATCACTCGCCTTCGGCTCATGCTATAAACCCAACACACGTTAAAGACGAAATTGCCCCACACGTGCTGAAATATACTATTCTTTTTATTGATTTTTCTTGTTAACTTTTTTTCATTTTTGGGAGTACTGATGAGAATAATATTTTTCCATTTAGTTAAATGGAAAATTATTGAGAACTTTTGATGGGCGAAGATTTTGTCAAAGGATTATTCGACTGAAATTCAGCATCATATTTGCCCGTCAAAATTTCTCAATAATTTTCCATTCTATTTTTTTGACTGTTTCATTTTGCCCTACTGTTTCATTCCTGCCTAATAATAAAGTTTAGTAGACACGAGTCAAAAAGTGTTTTTCTTTTCTAATTAATTTTGGAGGTTCAAAGGAGAAAATGCACATTCCAAAAGTTCCAATTTGTCCGGACTGTGGCATTATCCCCACTCCGTCCCAGGCTGACTCATGGGGCCCCAGTCAGTTGAAGGGGACCGTCATAAACGCTTTACGACCGATACAATGGGCCCATTCAATCTATTGTATGTTCAGTAATTGGGTTCGGGAGCTGCGATCACTCGATAAGCACCTCTTGCCCTTCCCTGTTCTAGGAACTTCAAAATGAGATGTCAAATTTTTTCAAATTTTTCTGAGGCTTTACTGCAGTGTAATTTAAAAAATCGGAAAAAGTGCAACGCGGCGCTCATAGCGTGATCAACGGAGTGTTAATAATGGTATATTATATATACGAAAGATATATAATGGTATAATAATATTCTTGCATTTATGAAAGATAGACCACTTTTTCATAGAGTTTTTTTTTGTAGAAGAAAGTGGGGATTGGGCTTCTGGACAAATTCAATATCTTTCGTAGTTTGAAAAATATTCAAGAATTATACATGTTTATTTCTTACTTCATTTTGATTCTGAGATATCTTCCACTGAATTTATATATCTATTATCTTTCTTCCACTGAAGTATTTGAGTTGGATAGGCAAATACTCGTAAAGGCTTTTTTGTGAAAAAAATGAAAAGTTGCAAGGGAGATTTTTCAAACGAATATCCGTCATTCCTTTGATTGTCGAGATATTCTCGACAATCAAAGATTGTCGATTCGAACATTGTCAATTGTCGAAGATTCTTTTAATACTGGAATACTGAATACTATTTCAAGTATAGAACTTTATAGGTAATTACCCCATTTGTGGATTTCTCTTAGGCTCATGTCCCAAATACCAAATAATATCCTCAATCTTCCACTCATGTAGTTTGACAGCACAAGCCTTATCCTTATAACAGTGCAACTTCGCTTGGCTAAACTCAAACGTATGACTCTTGAAATATTTGGATTTAGTGTCAGCGAACTTGAGTTCACCAGATACTGTCATGGGTGGCTTTATCTGCAATAAAACAACATCACTCCTGACAAATTTTGAATGAAATTGAGGGGGCGGGGGATTATGATTGGATGGGGTTCGTGTGTACTGGACTCAATGGAACTAGAATTGACTTGACCTGGGAAGGCCAATTACACTACATCCTGTTTTTTACCGTCCGGAATACACTCAAATTGGTATGCTACTAAATACATCATTATTTCAATGATGATCGGTGGTATGCAAACATATCGTTAATATTAAATAAGTCCAACCACGCCAAAAATTAATTATAAATTTTCATAATACATATTGACGTTTTATGCCCCAATATGAGTGTGGGCAAGGCTTGATATTAATGATTTACCGATGTTTTTTGAATTTGAACACTTCATGTCATTTAATTTTTTAAAATTATCATTGCTTCATAAGGGACGTTACCGTGTGGGGAAACCCGTACATTTATGTCACCATCGATAATATTATATGTGGCCTCAAAGAGTTTAAAATTCATCATTAGTGGCCTGGTGGATTTGTCCAAATAATTTAATATCTGAGGGTGATGAAGTTTAAGATTGACCACTATACCGAAAATCACTCGATATTACCTCTCCTTCGAGAAATTTTTCGTCCCCCAGATGAAGGGATAATTGTTAAATATAAAAACAAACTTATGACGATTTCACATATCAATACGGATTTTAATGAAAATTTACCCTAGGAACGATGTCTCTGTAGAGACTATTCTTCTTCAGAATAAGTATATTATCCTTTCTATCCTCTGGATCGCAATAGCCCCACCTGACAACGACATCAAGAACCTTTTCTGAATGGTGAAGAGGTCTCTGAAGAGTTCCATCAAGAATAGATTCGTCCAGTGACAATTCATATGCGGGAATTTTCGTTTTTTCTGCCAATTCTTTACAAACGTCTGAAGCTGTTTTCTGAGGTCCAATCGTTACATTGCAACACTCGCCCTCCTTTGCAAATAAATAAATCCAGATTTTTAAGTCCCCTGAAGGAGCACTACGCATCCCATTATTTGACGCATGATGACGCTCTAAAACTTCAAGGATCTTGGCTTCTTTTATCAAATCCTCAGCTGATAATTGATATAGCTTTGTGTAGAGTCGAATCAGATCACCAATAACGATTGTTTCAGCTCTGTTCCACTCCTCAGCACTTTTTCCACCGGCGTGCATCAGTGTTGGCCCCCACACAGCAGATATATTCTCCACGGTCATCAAATTCTTCGAACTCTGCTGACTCAAAAAATACAAATGTGCAAATATTCGTCTCAATGTAGAACCAGACACACGATTCAGAACAGGGAAAAGTATTGTCCTGTAAGCAGTAGCACGTTCCTCATCATCACAAATGTCTGAAAGTCAAGAAAAGAAGTCGATTGTTGGAGGACATAATAGAGCGGAATAATAGAAAATTGTAGTGGAGTAGTGGAGATGATGCGCCAGAAATTTTCTGCAAAAATTCATTTTGTATAAATCATCAATCATCGTCACCTTTCAAGTAAAAGCTCCATGTGAATTTTCAGTGTTACGATTCTGAATGGAATTTAAGATCAAATAGTTCGTACAATTTTTTTTCACCTTAGAATTTCAACAAAAACGAGTTTGTCAGGGTAAGAGGTCATTGAAATTCCAAGAACGGTTTGAATTTTCACACTTATTGTGATAATTTATTTTCTAAATTCAATTAAGTAGACTGCCTACTGTGCAAGAGGATCTCGGAGAAGTTGTGAGTTCGATATCAGTCGAAACGAGGTTAATGACGAAAAAAGAAAAAAATTAATTTATTTTTCATTAAATTGAGAACTCACAATTATAATCGTTTCAATTTTCACATAATTCAATGATTTTTATTGTCGTATGAACTGGAGAATTATAATTTCAATTCATTCAACATTTTCCAAATTAACTGAAATTATCCGTTGTTGGAAATTTTAAGATTTTCCGCTTGGAATTTAAAGAGTAATTTTTTAAGCCAATTAAATTCTCCGCACGAAAATATTGATCAAATAATGTAAAAGTGCACAGTGCTTGTTCTTCATTTTTATCTTTATTTTGTGCCTTTGTTACCTCGCTATATGTAAAAACAACGGTATTCGTCATCGTATCGTCAATAGGTGAGACGGTGAGAGTCCCACTAAATGGGATGAATCATCACTGGCTGACCTCCGAGAGAGCATGCAGGCGAGAAAAACACACGGAGTGGGGTTCAATGATCGTTTATTAACCTATTGAATTGACTTAGCTCTTCGGTGCGAATTTATTTTAAATAAACAATAATGGTTTTAGGGTTGTAGAAGGATCGTGTCTTACCGATGACTCTGCAGAGGGGATCGTGAATACTAGTGGGTAAGAGTGGCTCTGGTAAGTCTCGGAGGAATCTACGGAGTACAGTTGCCACATCGTGCTCGGAATATGAGCCTCGAGTGATTTGCGTTGCCCACGCGTCTTTTCTGAATGTTTCGAGTAGTCTAACTACTGCACTGCTTGATCCACCTTTTCTGTATATTCCTTCAGACATTATTCCTACATAGATGAAAATTAATCCAAGATATCAAATTACATTGGAAATTTCATTACGAAGTAATCTAAAAAATTTTACTTATTCAAAATACAAGTTTTTGTGGTACCTGCCTCAAAAGTGCACTTTTCGAAACGGTTTAGTGCGCGCAAAGCAGTTGTTTCCCGCACGACGTTTGTAAAAACAAGCACATTACCCCCACTACCGTTCCGAACAGTGAACTCGGCAGGTATCACGAAAAATAGCATGTGTTATACATGCGTATGAAAAAGTACAACTTTACGCATTAGCAACACAATAAACTATTATATTACTTTGCGAAGGACATTTCCTCAATAAATTTCTCTGAATCAATGTGTCAAATATTCAAGAAAAATTGTGGCATTTGATTTTCATATTCTAGCTCTTACTATCGGATTGAATAATATTAGGACTCCTCAGCCTAAATTGTCCAATAATTGCAGAAAGCAGTCACTTATTGATCCTTCTGATGATTGTTTCAGTAACGAAGCGGTAAAGCGGTTTAAGCACATTTTGACTATTAGCCAGTTTTCGATGAATATCTCGGAATTTGAAGGAGATCGCAAAATTTTTGCCATAACCTTTTTTGTAGTCCTGAATTCGCTCTAGAAAGAAGGTAATCATGAAAATTTTGTTATCTCCTTTAGATTCGGAGATATTCCTCGAAAACTCAGCTAAGGGCTAAGTCAACTCACACCGTTTTACCACTTGGCTACTGATTTGGTGTGAATACACTTCTAACGAAAAAAGGTCGATACTTTTTAATCCGATCGTAATTTCTTACTAGCAGTTCGTTTGATATTGAACAATTCAAATATTTTGGTTGGAACTCGAGTATGTGGGTTTTCATTTAATGCTCTTACTGCTACACTTCTTGACGTATTTACGGAATAATAAAATATGCAATTCAGAAGTCCAAAAATGGGAAAAAAGAAATTATGTACTGGCAGAAAATTGACATTGCTGAGTGAGAGTTACAATTTCCAGGGATATTCTTTTTCTCTTTCATACGCCATTATGAATCCATTCAATTAAAGTTTTTGTCCATTCCCTCGACCTCTCAAATTATGTTTACCGTGTGCATAGATGAAATTGATGCACTTGTCGACAATGACAGGGACATTCTCTTGAGTAAGCTGTTGCTCATTGAGAGCAGGACCACAGGTGGTAGCCGCCTGATAGAGGGCATGCCTCCAGGCAGGAACTTCCCTGGTCCCTGGAGCGGTTAAATGAAGAGCTGCACGCCCCCCATCAATAACAACCACAGGAATATTCCCGGAGCTTGAAATTGGCCCTTCCTGATCCCTCAGCACTAAATAATAAAGGATAAGCTATTATGGATCATTGCCTTGTTTAATGAAAAAAAAACTTTGAGATGATTCAAGCGATCATTCATTGATGGAATGATGAATAATCATTAAGCCTAATGATTTTTCCATTCCACTCTCCTATAAATGTAACAGAAGCACGTTGGGTTTAATATGAAATCATGAGACCCGTCTCAATGCAGATAAAATTGAGAAGATCAAAATTCCTCTGACAATTTATCTTGAAATGCCTCCCTAGATGATTGCATATTTACATCGATATCACATTTCACCTTGGAACACTTTGCTAATTTTCAGAAAGTAAAGGAAAATTAAAAAAAAATGATTGGAGTGCAGTGATCCAATGATGATTATAATGGATGTATAGTAATATCGAGGGAACGAGCATCCGGCGCGCTCGATGTGAGTTATTCTAAACTAGTGCGTGGTTGCGAAATCGCTATCGCAAGTGCAACGCATCAACTTATGGGAATGATTCATAACAACTGTAGCTTTATTTTTATCTGCGTTATTAGAACCTAGTTTAATCGTTATCGTTGTTGTCTCAATGGATATTGATAGGTGGAAATTAATTGGTGCGAACTCTCAATTGATAAAACTTACAAATACAACGAGCTTTCCTCAGGTCGAGTTTTTCGAATTCTACTGGTTCGAATGAATGTGTGTAGACTAGGGTTCGCTGTTGTAGGAGAACCCAGGCTGAGAACCAGGACCCTGATACACCTTCCTGAAAATTTTGACCAATTATTGAAAATACTCCCTAGATTCAATACTTTTTCATCATAATGTCCGTAAAGCGTCGTTTAACGTATGAATCGTCGTTTACGGACATTGTAAAGAAAAACTAGGTTCGTCATTCGGCCGAAAACAACTTTTCTGACTCGTGTGATTGTATTCCTCGGCTTCGCCTCGCTTTGCAACCCTCACACTCGTCAGAAATAGCTATGTCGGCTTTGTGACGAATATAGTTATTTAGGTTGCCAGTTGGTTGATTGAACAATGGTTTTCTATTTTAGGGGAAGAGACTTTTTTTTTGAATATCCTTAAGTACGTTGAAAGTATAAAAATCTCTGTCTTGTGTAGAAAATGTAATTCAGTATGGTAAAGAGTTATAGAACCCGTTTCTAAATATCACTATTTTTAATCTATGAAAAATTGCATATTTATCATGGAAGAAGTGCTTAAGGATAATCGGACGAGCTGGGAGGGTTGGAAAAAACGTAGGCATTTTTTTCTTTTTTTTCACGTATTATTTAAATGATGGAAAATGCGTGTGCAAAGTTTCAGACTGCTGGGGAGCGTGGTAAATTTATTATGAATTTTTGAAAAAGTGGTCATTTAACCCGCAATCTTATGGAAATTAGCAAAAAAAATTGCAAAACCCAAGAAAAAAAGGCAGCCAAAGTCATGAAACTTTAGACACATTTAGAACATGTGATCAATGATTTTTTGAAGGAAAAAGATTGTAGCCTAGGTGCATTGTTTATTAATAATAGCGAAAAAAGTACTGAAAAATGAAATTTCTGCGCACGCAGCCCAAACGAGCAGCAACGTCCCAAGTACCAATCGGTTGGGGGTAGCGCGGTCATTTTAAACGTCTCTTGGGAGAGAGCGATGAAGCGTTGTAATTGGAGCTCCCTCGAGCCACTGGTACCAGCTCCTGGTGAAAAAAAAACTACCGACGATGTTGCCTCTTTTTCCCATGGATTAAATTTTTTTTATTTATTAAAAAAAATCAATCTGAAAACTATTCAATGCGTGGAACAGATACAAGTTCTGGTAGGGATAATTTTCAATAGCCTTAATGTTGAACTATTGCATTGCATTTGAACTCGTTCTACCCATATACGTCGGTCAAACTCTAATGAAAAATTAACACTTTTGTTGACGTTTTTTCTAAAACCGCGTGTAATGGACAATTTTCACTTTTTTGTCATCTCCATCTCAGAATATGTCACAATTATACATCTGTTATTTTAATCGATGTGCTTTAATTCCGTACTTTTCGTTATCGTAGAACAAGACATCATCATTTGTTTCACCGTAATTTAACAAAAATTCAATTTTCAACGAAAAAATTTATGCAACACAAGACGTTGATAAAAAAAAAGAACATAAATCAAAACTAAGAAATTTTGGGAAATTCTTGGAAAAGTAAAATTTTGGGAAAGTCGGGGAAAAGTCTCAAATTCCGTCGATCATCCAAAACTCACGTTTCACTCAGTCACATCCGTACAATACACTCTTTACAAAAAAAAAGGTTTTAGACAGGACACATCTGCTCACATCTTCAACCGTCGAAACTCACCGAAAACCCCAATCCCAAACTTTAGGACTACCCTGTTTCAAATTTTTGTAACTGTAATTTTCCATTACTGCTGGAAAGCCAATTAGAAAACTCAATTTCTGAATCTAGGAGGAAGAGGGAGGGTCCCAGAGTTTTCGAGGACGATGCAGAACAGAAAAACATATCCAAAAAACAATTTTTGCCAGTGGCATCTAAAATTTAACACGACATCGGCAATTTGTCGTCAAATTGTCGACATACTGTTTGCTGGGATAGTTTCAATCGACATCGCGAAAGGACAACACAAAATCTCTAGTTCGATTCTCCTAGTCTAAATGTAATTTGAGTGTGTCAATTAATAAAAATACATTAAACAGTTTTTCTAATTAAACCATGTTGTGTATCTTTTTTTTTGATAAAATCAGTGGATAAATTTAATCTATTTATAAATAACTCTTACTGAGACTGATAATCTGAGTGAGTTTTTTGGTCCGTAATCCGGAAGTATACCGCTTCGACGGTATACATCATTCATATCACCTAGGCCGGTCAAATTACTGTTTGGAAATCAAGGATGTTAGAAGAAGGATAAAAACCATGGGATATCACGCGGAAGAATGATGTGAAACACATACTGAGTTTTTGGGATTGTAGCAAACCGGGAAATTGTTTAAAAAAATTCAAAACTGCAAAATTAAGCGTCCACGCGACCTTTTTTGCTTTACGCCGACGAAACCGTGATAGATAGCATAAAAATGCATAAGACTTAATTTGTAGAGCATAAAATTTCATACAAAAAAGTCACTGGCGGCATTTTCGTAATTTGAACCGTCAAACCGCCAAGCGCGCTCAAAGTTGAACTACGAAAAAGCTGATTTGCCGCCAACGCTGCAAAGTTCACTTTAGTTGCAAAATGCAAATAATTTATGAAAAAGTTGATTAAAAAATCCGAAAAAAATCAGGATGCATCTTGACCCTTCACAGAATGTCTCCAGGAGAGGAAATTTTTTTAAAAACATTTTTCGATTTTTCAGGAGTCCCCATTTTTCTCTTTTTTTTTCATTTTTTAACCAAAATTAGCCATAACCTAACTTTTGATCCAGTTATCTTATTGGAATAAGAACAAAAGGTGATTTTTTCTCTTTCTCTCCTCTCCATTTTCACTCTTTTGACCTTTTCACTTAACTTTCATATTTAACTTATTATTTGTTGATCAACTAAAAGAATTGCTGTTTTTTCAATATATAATATAATCTGACTGGAAAAATTTTTGATCAAGCTCGGTAGCTTTATCCAAAACTTGAGTCATTGGGATCAATCTTGAATTTTTTCATATTTTTCTTGGCATTTGTTAACGTAGATTTTTAATAATAAAAGGAAAAATTTTCTATTTTTGTCATTTTTTCAATGTCTAAAAATTCTTTGATTTATTTTTTTATTTTTTGCCATTTTGATGTTTTTTCGTATTTTCAATACTTAGTGAGCTATGAATTATTTTAGATGTAGGGAAATGTTTTCGTCGGGCGCGCCCTCCTCCACGCGCTTCATCGCCCCACTCTCCACGTTCTTCGCGTAGTGGAACTTCTGCAAACGTTTCCTTTGCTAATTTCCTCCAAAAATATAAAAAAACTATAAAAAAAATTTTTGTTAACAATCAATAGCGCACAAACTCAATGGGAGCTTCTGTTTTGCACCTCTGTACTTATAGTGCTAATTTGATGAGAAATTATATTGATGAAAATTTTTATCTTTCAATTTGAATTTAAACAAGAGTCAAAATTTGTAGCCGCCAGGTTTAAATTAAGTTTCCTTGGAATTATTATACGAGAAAGAACTCTCTACGGATGCATCATCAGAAATTATTTGAACCCACTCGGGATGTGATTGTTAACAACAATTTTTCTGGTAATTTTTTCACATTTTTGGAAGAAATTAGCAAAGGAAACGTTTGCAGAAGTTCCGCTACGCGGAGAATGTGGAGAGTGGGGGGATCAAGCGCGTGGAGTGGGCCGCGCCCGACGACAACATTTCCATAAATCTAAAATAATAAAATAATTCATAGCTCACTAAGTATTGAAAATATGAAAAAATATGAACATAGCAAAATTTTATTAAAAAAATCAAAAAAATTTTGGACATTGAAAAAATGACTAAAATAGAAAATTTTTCCTTTTATTATTAAAAATCTACGTGAACAAATGCCAAGAAAAATATAAAAAAAATCAAGATTGATCCCAATGACTCAAGTTTGGGATAAAGCTACCGAGCTTGATCAAAAATTTTTCCAGTCAGATTATATATTGAAAAAACAGCACTTCTTTTATTTGATCAACAAATAATAAATTAAATATGAAAGTTGAGTGAAAAGGTAAAAAAAGTGAAAATGGACAGGAGAAAACGAGAAAAAATCACCTTTTGTTCTTATTCCAATAAGATAACTGGATCAAAAGTCATGTTATGGCAAATTTTCGTTAAAAAAAGAAAAAAAAAAAGAAAAATGGGGACTCCTGAAAAATCGAAAAATGTTTTTAAAAAAATTTCCTCTCCTGGAGACATTCTGTAAAAGGTCAAGATGCATCCTGATTTTTTTCAGGTTTTTTAATCAACTTTTTCAGAAATTATTTGCATTTTGCAAATAAAATGGACTTTTCGGCGTTGGCGGCGAATCAGCTTTTTCGTAGTTCAACTTTGAGCGCGCTTGGCGGCTTGACGGTTGAAATTACGAAATGCCGCTAGTGACTTTTTTGTAGGAAATTTCATGCTCTACAAATTGAGTTTTATGCATTTTTATCCTATCTATCACGGTTTCGTCGGCGTAAAGCAAAAAAAGTCGCGTGGACGCTTAATTTTGCAGTTTTTAATTTTTTTAAACAATTTTCCAGTTTGCTACAATCCCAAAAACTCAGTATGTGTTTCATATCATTCTTCTGCATGACATCTCATGGTTTTTATCCTTCTTCTATCATCCTTGATTGCGGACAAAAAAAAAGTCCTTATTTGACTGGCCTAACCTGCATCGTATTTCTCTTATTTGATCCTTAGTGTTCGGCCGATGTAATTTTTCGCATATCATTTCACCTCACCGTGATAAAAAAAATTTAATCTTGGAGGTTCTACGGGTTTTAATGGGGGTCTCATGTCACTCAGCATATACGCAGGGGAGGGCAGGGCCAACTGGAACGTTTTGTGATCTTCTTTGATTATAGTAGGGATGCAAAATGCAAAATGACTGTAATTTTTTACATGTGTCTAGTCAGCCGTAAATCTATCGAGATGCAAACTGACCGGCAGGGTTGGGTAAATCGGTCAGTTCTAGGGTTTTTTTACTTTATACGTACAATACACGTAAACTATGTAAAAAATGTCTAAAATGTAATATACGGTTTATTACATTCAGCCGGATTTTGAGTGCATGTATTTTACGTAAAATACGTTGAAGA